AGGGAAGCGTTTATTCTAATATGCTGAACTTTCCGTTGGGGTGTAAACATCTTGTTGAGTTTCATTCCGTTTCTCGCAAAGTCGGTCATTCTCTGTGCGGTTAGGGTTCCGTCCTGAGCGTTAGGACCAAATCCCTCTCCCAGGGAATTTTTACACCCAACTCCACTCCAACAATGTCATTAATGAATCTCCACAATCCAATGTGCAACGTTACTATGGGCTTTACGCTATCATCTATGCGCGTTGCCGATTTCTCCACTTCATCATATCACTTGCGCATTTTGTAAACCTGGCCATAAGCCCACCAGTCCAAGGCCAAAATCCTAATAGGGGAGCTGAGTATTCGCACAATGGAATTGAAAGTTCGAAAGCTATGACGTGTCGCTGATGGACTAAATCAGTCGGGCAACTAATCTCAGAATATCATTTCAAACGCTTGAGCCCGATTTAGGCATCCCGAGGTCTCAGCACTGCTGGAAAATCGTCCCACTCGACTTATTCAGTAAAGGGTATTATTGATTCAGTGGAAAATGAAATTTAGTGAGCTGAAAAAGCGTGGATTTAGATTAGATGGATTTCGGTCTGAGCACACACACAAAAGGATTGAACATTCTGGCGCGAAAAAGTTTCACCCCACACGCAAAGGTTTTGCAGCTCAGAGAATTGTGCGATTAATGGATTCCCCTCGTAAAAGGTTTTGGGCTTTAATTCAAATTGGCCGGCTAGACCGAGAGAATCATGCACAGCACTAATTGTGCGATTAATGGATTCCCCTCGTAAAAGGTTTTGGGCTTTAATTCAAATTGGCCGGCTAGACCGAGAGAATCATGCTACAGCACTAAATTTGTTGTTCTGGATCCCCACTTATCGCGCTTCCCAGTCTTCTTGACATGTACCAGGCAGTATGCCTCTTTTCCCGTACCTAGTTCTGCCCTTGCCCGCCACTCTAAAATCTTAACGGTTTGATCTTATCTCAGCTGCCGCCTCTAGACGTACGCCCATAATTTCTCTGAAACCGTGGTTCGAAAGGAGCAACACTAACCTAAAGTTTTAGCATTTGATGGTACTTATTCGAGCGCTTAAGATCTCCTCACGCGGCCGCAGTTTTATTGGAAGTTGTTTAAACGAACTCGGAGTCCACTATGGGCGCGGAATGCGAATTTTAGTGGCAGCCGGTGGCCTCGGCAGTTGTCTGTATGAAAACGGTGTAAGATTTTGTGAAAGGCGGGTTTCTTCTCGTGTTCCCTTACGTATTGGAGTTGTAGGTAATCGCAAAGCGACCGAGACGATTATCACACCCATGACCTCCGCGAAAACGTAAACTGGAACGAACATTCACAACCTGGTCTCCAGTAAACGCGCTTTTGGTGGCACCACTGGTTGCGCCGCGCGTGGCCACCAGTGGCAACAGATGGAAACTAGGGGTGGTATGTTACGCTTGCCACTGGTTGCCAACGGCGGCCAAAAGCAGCAACTGGAAAGTTTCTGCCGAACCTTTTCACGGTCTTTTTCAAAACCTTTTGCAACCGTGCGAGACCAACGCTTGCAACCACAAATTTGTCAGCTAACTGACTGCTTCCCTGAGTAATCGCTCTGACCACCTAACCTCATGGCAGCGTCTTATTACCGAGCTCCACAGATAATTACCACCCGCGTCGTTCTTTCGACAACATGCCGCATGGTCAAAGGACAACGAAGTCGGTGGAAAAATATAAACGTATAAACAATATCATCACATTACATTTTTCAGTGCGCCGCAAGGCGGCCCTTTCGCATTACAGTCTCTGGTTTCCAGGGATTCGATCCAACGCTCCCTCGAAACAAGACTTAATTGATTTTTCAATGAAACGCACTGTGACACTTGAGTGTGTGGCCACAGAGTACATTGCATCTAAGGTGACTATTGTCAATGCCAAACAGTTACGTCACGCTTTATGAGCCTTGGCAACGTTGTGGATGATATAGCTCTTTTATCTCCTCCATTTAACCACGTGAGATGATCTGCAAACTCCGGAGCAAACAGAGCACGCAGCATGTTCCCAACTGACGGGCAGGGGTCAGGGCAGGCCAGTCGTGAAAGTGAAGACCGGGGTGAAGGTACTCGCTGACTGTTCGCAGAATTCCGCCTACAAAAGCCTGACCAGGAAAGCATCAAGCTTCTACTTTTGTCATTCCAGAGCGTCTTTCCGTTTTTGTTACATGTACGTACCCGAACTGAGGCCTAGCTCCAAACATCTCACCCGTGCATCCAGCTTTTCCAAGCGATCCAGGGTTTCTTCTAATATTGGAATAAGCAATAAAAGAGTGACACCGACTCACGTCGAGAGGCTTCTGCTCTGACAGCCTCTTCAAGCATTTAATCTAGCTATGAATGGATGTACGTAATTGAAGTTTGCCTCGAAACGCAGCCAAGATGCGCATCACGTTTTGTTTGGGCAATCGGGCACATGTGATATCACACCCATGACCTCCGCGAAAACGTAAACTGGAACGAACATTCACAACCTGGTCTCCAGTAAACGCGCTTTTGGTGGCACCACTGGTTGCGCCGCGCGTGGCCACCAGTGGCAACAGATGGAAACTAGGGGTGGTATGTTACGCTTGCCACTGGTTGCCAACGGCGGCCAAAAGCAGCAACTGGAAAGTTTCTGCCGAACCTTTTCACGGTCTTTTTCAAAACCTTTTGCAACCGTGCGAGACCAACGCTTGCAACCACAAATTTGTCAGCTAACTGACTGCTTCCCTGAGTAATCGCTCTGACCACCTAACCTCATGGCAGCGTCTTATTACCGAGCTCCACAGATAATTACCACCCGCGTCGTTCTTTCGACAACATGCCGCATGGTCAAAGGACAACGAAGTCGGTGGAAAAATATAAACGTATAAACAATATCATCACATTACATTTTTCAGTGCGCCGCAAGGCGGCCCTTTCGCATTACAGTCTCTGGTTTCCAGGGATTCGATCCAACGCTCCCTCGAAACAAGACTTAATTGATTTTTCAATGAAACGCACTGTGACACTTGAGTGTGTGGCCACAGAGTACATTGCATCTAAGGTGACTATTGTCAATGCCAAACAGTTGCGTCACGCTTTATGAGCCTTGGCAACGTTGTGGATGATATAGCTCTTTTAACTCCTCCATTTAACCACGTGAGATGATCTGCAAACTCCGGAGCAAACAGAGCACGCAGCATGTTCCCAACTGACGGGCAGGGGTCAGGGCAGGCCAGTCGTGAAAGTGAAGACCGGGGTGAAGGTACTCGCTGACTGTTCGCAGAATTCCGCCTACAAAAGCCTGACCAGGAAAGCATCAAGCTTCTACTTTTGTCATTCCAGAGCGTCTTTCCGTTTTTGTTACATGTACGTACCCGAACTGAGGCCTAGCTCCAAACATCTCACCCGTGCATCCAGCTTTTCCAAGCGATCCAGGGTTTCTTCTAATATTGGAATAAGCAATAAAAGAGTGACACCGACTCACGTCGAGAGGCTTCTGCTCTGACAGCCTCTTCAAGCATTTAATCTAGCTATGAATGGATGTACGTAATTGAAGTTTGCCTCGAAACGCAGCCAAGATGCGCATCACGTTTTGTTTGGGTAATCGGGCACATGTGATCTATCGGAATCGCTTGTTTCCTCGCCGGAGTCACTGGTTTGTTCAATGTTCCCTAGAGGTGGGGGCAAAATCGCGGATTACTGATGACCATAAACGGAGCTACATTTAAAACATTTGGCAAACTAAAATTATGGTCACACTTACTCAACAGGTGAGGATCAGATTCGCGGGGGTTAATTAAGTGAACTTTTGAAACCTCCCTGAAGTCTGTGTTTCTCAACCTATTCACTAGTTGACGAGTATTTTGGATTGCGTTTTCTGAAAAATGGACGAGTCGTTACAAAATTAGCTCTGGCGGACACCGTAGTGCAGCCCAAAGTAAGTCTGTGGCTCCATTTCTGAAGTGCCGTCGCCGGCGTTAACAGAGCACGGAATCGGTCCGCTTCAAAGTGAGCTCCTGAAGACGTGCCAACGCTCAACTAGATTTTTTATGTGAAGAGTACCAAACCTTTTGATGACTGCAGCGGAGGGCGTGATGTCGTTTGAAGGCATGCCCTCTTTGTTTATTAGGGCGCGTTTCATTGCTTCGTAGTCATTAATGTCCTCCAACAAACCGTTCTTTCATCAAAAAATCACTTTTCGCACCAAATCTCAAAGTGTTCGTCATCCAAGAACTTAAAAACTGTAGAAATCTATAAGGGAGGCGGTTACATAAGTAGACTCATGTCAACAAATTTTTTGCTATGCTTAAAACTCTTGGTCAATGGTAAGTTTTATTTTTCAAATGAACGTAACAGTGGAATTTAAATAAATTCATCACTTACAGGAAACACGAAACGTCAACGAGTAACGCGACTTTAAGGCTGAACAAAGACACATTCACTCAGCCGACTAGTACGGAAAATCCGAAACCGTAAGGGAGAAGTAAAATAAGAACGAACAAGATCAAATCTCCTAAAATGGAAATGGAGGGCTGTAAATTTTACAAAACACAAGTGGCTATGAACAAGAACTGCAGTGTCTCGTGTAGAGCAAGAGATAAAAAGAGCGGAAAATTAAACCTTCGGATGAAACGGATGCACCCCCAAAGTTATCTGTCAGCAAACAGTCCAGCGTATCAGCTGGACCGTTCAGCAATACGCCGTTGTATTTGAACGGCAGGATGACGCAGCCCGGAAACATCCTAAATTGACCTAAAAATGACTCAAAGAGGAATGCAGAAAAACGGCTCATGGATCCATATATCCTCACATCTTCCGCCAAATGTACCAGGCTATGTACGTTGTTCGTGACAGCCCGCGGATCATACATACTGGAAAAGTTCTGCACAGCCACGCATGCTATGCTCTGAGCAAAGTCAGCATAATCAACGAGGAAAACTGTGAGCGAAAATGAGCACAGTAGTAGACAAATCACGAAATATACTGTAAGCATTAGTGTCAATCAAACATGCAAGTACAACGGGCCCTGAGTAGAGTAAAACTGCCGAAACTCCGTGACTTTCCACAGCCCACTGTCCACGAGAGGACAGCAATGATGTTGGAATTCATTTGGGGTTTGACTGTGTACACTAGAAATGCAGCGGTTAATTTCCGACCCAAGCGCTTGCAACAATCTGTAGGAACAATGCACTTGATCAATAACCCGAAATTTAAGCAACTTTTTGGCTAAACCAAGGCACACCATGTGCATATAACCAAGCGGGAATGAACTGATCGTGTCACTTGGTAGCCACTCAAATGGGGAGACACCGGTATGATGTCTAGCATTGGAATTGGAACGAAAGTCGGCGCCTTCCGAAAACTAGCATCCAGTTGTGGAACCCATGAACGACACACCTATCAAATCCGTAATAACCAGAATGTTCTCTGATTTGCTTGATAAACGATCTAGCTGGTTTGCCGCAAACGCCGCGTGACAGGAGAACAGACACACATACTAGACCATTTGGAGGAGTAAACCGCTGTCCAAAACCAGCTGCAGTTTCCTTATCGTGTCTTGCAGAAGGGCTTTGACGTCAATCGGTTTGGGAACACCCCAGAAGATACTAACTACAAATGGCCTCGTTTTCGCTAATTCCGACGCAGTTGTGAGGATGGGCCAAGTATGTTTCCTCGACCACCCGTGTAAACTGACGCTATCGATGTTGAGCACAACGCTGAGCTGTCTCAATTTACTGCGCTTCTCAGCTGTCAAACAGGCTTTACGCACACTAATTGGCAATCCAGCGCGTATATAAACACTTCGGCAATGGCTCCAGAAGTTGTCGTTCTTTGTGTAAAAAGCAGAGTTCTCGGGTCCTTCGGCAAATCAGGATAGTGCCGAAGAAGAGCGAACAGCAACATGCGCTTGTAATTGAAGGGCACCGGCAGATGAGCCAGGACATAGCGCACGTCCTCCACAGTAGAGAGCGCACGAGGTGTCTGATAATGTTGCTTCCAGAACGAAATTACTGCGCCTTAAAAGGAGACTTACAGCTAGATACCCTCCAAATTTCTACCTACGTGGTGTTGGGTCGGGATACTCTGTGGTCTGTTCTGAGGTGGACAGCGTAGCTTCCGCTGCTGTGGAAAGATTGCTGGCATATCATTAACCCACTATATATTATTCTACCAGGATCTGTTGGAGGCGAGCTTATACTTTCTGCATTTCCAGAATTATTACACCCGTAAAGGTGCTCCCACATATTGCCGCGCCCACACAGTAAACAGACTCAAGAAGAAAGTTCACCTTTTCTCAAAGGATAGCACATTTATCTCTCAGCTGCACTGCATCGATAATTCTAATAATAATTTAAGTAATCCGAAACCGTTACCTGATTGAGGTGCATTTCGTTTACACGACCGTTTGACGCCTGACGACCGTCCAAAAATTGGACGAAATGTGGCAATGGACCAGCGGAAAAGCGGTAACCGAAATTAGCGCAATAAATGATATATTTGATCGACCTTGCATTAAAGCACAAGGGTTTCAAAAATGACTTTTACCCAGGGATTCAATATCTCATTAATTCCGTTTTCCTTATTTTTAGACGGCATTTATGCCGAAACCGCTATATTCGGACTGTATGTATGATGGCTTCCAGCGGTAGAAACGTCAAAAAATTTAGCCACATTTAACCGTCCATATCTACAGTTAGCCGCCGGTGGCCATGCGTTTACTGGCCATTTTAATATATGAAAATTTTTATGGTTGCTATAAGCATTCCGCTAAAGCCAAGGAATTCGTCAGAGTTGACAAGCTTTTCTCTTTTCATGATGGTCAGTATACATTATATGGCTTAGGCCAAGGTTTGATCTTTACCGATATACCGAGACACCAAAAGTGTCGTTGGATAAACTATGGGGTTTGAAGGGGGGACAAGCAGACAGCAGAATAAGATGGCCACTGCTTTCAAGTCCTTACACAAATCAAACGGACTGAAACGGTCTTTTGCTTAGCACACTTATCTGGGAGATATAGATACAGTAAACTACGAGCAAGCCAGCAGACTAGGTGTGGTAGTCGCGGTACCGTTATCGCCACGCTGTATTTCGGTTTGTGAACAGCCCCGTACATGAGCGTCTTGGATGAGCCGTTTGTGGCTGTCATTGTAGTAGGGATATTCTTGGGTCTATCGAGGGCTCACTGTGGTCCATTGCTGCCATTCAGACGAGGTAAAACGATAGCCATGTCTACATTTGGGACTCAAAATACGAAGAAAAATCCGAAAGATTTGCTAGAAAGCACCTCCATGTGAGTTAGAATGCCTCCCGAAATAACAGGCAGTTAGAAGCAATCACAATTCCTGACCACTTTAATGAGGTGACGCTGCATGATTTCAAAAACAGTAATCGATATTTACGTGCAGATAATAGATGTGCGGACTATGCGAGCTGTTGAGGACATATGTGTGTATTAGGGACGCGCACTGGCTAGACTGTGTGCAACCAAGGTGGGCTGGGCCTTGCAGAGAGATAGAATGAGAGATATCTGGTGGTGCTTCAGGTTTGCACGATGAGCTGACCTCAGATTGGAGCGGTTACAGCCTCAAGAAAACCGTAAGGCTTTGCAAAACCAGTTGCCTTTGAGGCGTCACATCGTGTGTATTTAATGAGCCTTGTGGTATCTTTTCCCCTTCTATTACTTGATGTTTTGGTTCATAGGGAAACTGCTGTGGATGTATACCACAAGCAGGGCAAACTCAGGTTAGAATCAGTTTTCGCTTCTTTAATTGCGGAAAGCGGATTGTGAGGCTCATCATGCGGATAGAATATATTTTGGAAGAGAACATGCAGTTGAAGTAAGAGTTGTCAACTATGCATGCTTTTGCATCGTCGTGGACAGGAGGCGCAGAAGGGGCGAACTTGTTACAGAAATGTTTGTAGAACACCAGGTTTCCGTAAACAAATCGGCGTCCGTCGGGGGTGCCCTCTCCCCTTTCCCGCTTTACTTCGTGATCGATGGGGTAATGAGACAAACGCTGAAATGTCTTATGGACTCGGTTTTAAAAATATCCTCTGGCAAAAATCTGAGCAATCATCGATCGATCGATCAATACACCTATCTTATCTTCAGGCTGTTCTTGGATGAAATAACCAAAGTCATTCTGTCCATTGGTGTGCACTTTTATCCACAAAGTGTCGCGTTATCATAGTGATGTTTACTTCCAACAGGTGAGTAACGTACCGTCAGGCGTGATCATAAGGTTAGTCAGAATAAAGCATGTGTTTGTTTGTGGTCGCACGTAGTGGAACAAGTTGACGTTAGAGTAAGAGAAGGGCCAAGAGAAGGAAGGGCATAGTTGCGGGTGTGCCGTGAATTTGGGTAAAGGAGTATCATGTCATCATTGCACTGAAATACTTCAGTTTCTGGATAGCACCGTAACGGACGCCATTTTTGGGATGATTTGGCTTTGATGCGCAATTCTGTAAGCAGGATGATATTTTTGGTTGGCTAAGGGAATCCTCAGAGGTGGATCAAACCTTATATAAGATCTGATCGGGTTAGTGAGTTAGCGTCGTGCAGCGTTATTCAAAGTTGTATTAGTTTTGATTGTAGTACGACAGATGAGGTCAATGCACGAACCTGCAATGCTCTGGTCGCGTTTGCTAATTTGAAACATCTACGGTGTCAACGCGGTATATCCGTCAATATCAAGTAACGTGTGTACAGGCCGTGGTCCGGGCTGTTCTGTTGTATGGCCGTAAGAACTGTCCTGTTTGAGAAGCGGAACTAACGCGTTTTTAGGTGTTTGACAACAAAGCAGAATTGGATTGATCACACATTATGTTTGTACCGATGCAACCAATTAAGAGAAACACGATTTGTTAAAGGTGTTTGTGTATTCATTTCAGAAGAGCTTGTTAAAAAATCGGTAGTATTTAGTTGGGCTTGACACATAAGGTGGGGAAAAACTAAAGACCACCGTAAACGAGAAGCCAGCCGACAGTGGGGCAGTAATGAACTACTCGTCTGCTCATCCAAAGTCGGTATTCGCCAGTATTGCTTCATCACTGGCTAGGTGTGCAAAGTCTCTGTGCGCAGAAGAGACTGATCGGACATGGGTCTAAACCGAAGTAACGAACAAAGTTTAGGGTAGTGGATGTCCAGCTAGCTTGAGCAGGTGTCAGTTGCGAAGGGTGTTGGTATCGATAGGGAAACCCAACAGGGAATGGACGAGGACCGCGGTTATTCCATATAGACCAGGGGCATCGGAGGTCATTCGAAGAATTCTAAACGCAGCCAGCATAAGAGTAGCTTTGTAGAGGGAGAACTCTGCGCTCTGTACTAGTGCAGTCGTAGGATCGCCTCCCGGGAAACAGAACCAAAGACTGCGTCTACAAAATTGAGTGTACTGACTGCACCAAGGTCTATATACGACGGACTTCCAGGGAACTGCACATCAGAATCAGAGACCATAGTAAAAAACGAACAGGCAGCCGAGAAACTCAGATGAGTATCAAGCGTTGCTGAAAGACTCGGCAACCGCGGAACACGCACTGGACACGGGACACAAGATTGATCCAGGAAATGTTGAGGTTTGGAGGCGAGGACTACGGTTCACGTCACAGGGACTGACACTCGAGGCGGTAGAAATTGCTAAGCATTCCACTGTTAACAAAATAGAAGTCGCGGAACTGGCAAGCATGCGGAGAACGGTCGTCAATCGATCGAGCTAACACATGTCGGTGTGCGATTATCAGGAGGAGTAGTGGTCATCATCTGGATTCCACTAAACCTTATGCACCTCCCCTTCCCCCAACTAAGTTGTCGCAACATTCGCACGAAGATCGGGAGAACTCTACCAGTGGCACCGAGGTGAATCACCAAGTGAAGCACCCTGAAGTGGAAATCAAGGAACAAAAAGCGATCGGAACTATTTTAAAACACCTCCAACCCATCAATTAGATATTTTGGCAACCAAACTAACCGATAAGTGCCGTTAATTGATACTCAACACTGTTCTAGTGGGAAGAGGACTTACCGGTTGTTTTCCCGTCTGCCTTATAAACTGGCCAATTCGGTGACCGGTTCACCTGGCCTGATGAGGCTTTTATATCAAAAGCGAAGCGTTGCCCAAATAAAAAATACCAATTGTTTATCGAGCTATCCTGAAACAACGACTCCTCAATCGGTCCCGAACTTTTTTCAAGTGGTTGTGTATTTTTCAGGCATGTGTTGTTGGCAGATGGACGACGGATGGAAACGAAGGACCGCCGTCGGTCGTTGGATGAGTCTATTATGTATGGTTGGGACATTATAGTCAGCTACGAGCATGTGCACGGACGCCGGACACGGACAGTTACTATAAGTAGCCTTGGCAGGTGACAACGCTTAGTTATGTGTGACGGGCCGTCGTTGGCCATGGGACTGGACTACTGATCATAGCTAAATCCTCATACTGAACGTCGCACATGGACACGCCTTGCGATTAAGAAAAGTAGCTAAGGCAGGCGATATCGACCACCGTTACGAGTATGACGGATTAAAATATCATGCATAGTTGGGGCGTCGTTTTTATCGGCCCGCACAGATACTGGCCTGATGTTTGCTATGGATAGCAGACACAAGCATGAAGGCGCACAGGTACGGGTATGACGGGTTATCTTTGGCAGTTAACTTAAGACACTGCGCAGAGATGAATCCTAATAATCAGCGCCGCATATATGCACTAGCCTAGCAATTCCAAAAAGTAGTCAAGGTAAGCGATAACGCGTATAGTTGTGAGGATGATATCCGTCGTTCGCCATTAGAATAGGTATGGGTGGATAGCCTAGGCTTCGTGTTTATCGGTTCGAATGAATACTGGCATAGTATTTGCCATAAGTAGCAAACATAAGGGACAACGCGTACAGTAACGAGTACGACAGATAAGTTTGGGCTAAGTTACCGGTTAATCAACCCGCACATGGACACGGAACTGGCAGGTACGGTATGCAGCCAGGAAAGACGACATCGAGTGCAGCGATGAGCGTGTCAGGCCATCATATTAGGTGTAGTAGTCTAGCTACCCAATAAGGTAGTTTACCAGGAGTGTGTGGCAAAGAAATAAAAATAATTACGCTAAATTGGGTTTACAAAAATAAAGAGGTCAGATGGGACA